AAGCAACATCTGGTGTTGTTCCAGCTGATGCAGTGGACATCAGCACGCAGGAATGCAATTTGGAAGGCCCAGACTTGCGATACCTGCAGGGGACAAACTGTGTCAAGGCACTGGAATTGCAACGCATACACTTTCTTCCGCTTGGCGGATCGATCGTGGTGAGCGCATACCCCGTAGCTGAGACGTGCCGCGGAGACCAAGGGCATCTGAGGCAGTTCAAGGAATTACACACAGTTGGCCAGACTGTTTCTTTCAGGAGAGCATGCAGCGAAGCTACCATCCCTGCAAAGGCACCTGCAATAGTGCCTGCATTTGTACGTGCCACCATGCCAGCAACTGCACCAACCGCAACACCTGCAAAAGTGCCTGCGGCTGTTCCTGCAGTAAGCCCCGCAGTGTCGCCAAGCGGCACACCAGTTGTCATGCCCTCGACAGTACCTGCTGCTGTGCCAGCTAGTGTGCCAGCAAAGGTGCCTGCTAGTGTGCCTGCTGCAGTGCCGGCATCAGTGCCAACACTTGTGCCCACTGTTGCGTCCACAGCCATGGTTCCGGCAGTGGTTCCAGCCTCGCAGCCAGCGAGCGTGCCAGCTGCGGTGCCAGCAAGCATGCCGAATGCGATGCCAGCTGCAACGCCAACAACAGTGCCCGCAACAGTACCCAGCTCCACACCGGCAGTTGCACCGGCCACAACACCTGCAGCAGTGCCAACAACTGTGCCAGCGGTGAGCCCAGCAGTCTCACCCAGCGGCTCACCAGTTGTTATGCCCTCAACAGTGCCAGCTGCAAGACCGGCTGCTGTGCCAGCCAGAGTGCCCGTGAGCGCTCCAGCAAGTGTGCCTGCTGCGGTGCCTACCAGCGTGCCCACTGAAGTGCCTACAAGTGCGCCTGCTGCAGTGCCTGCCAGCATTCCTGCTGCAGTGCCAGCATCAGTGCCGGCTGCTGTGCCCACTGTTGTGTCTACAGCCGTGGTTCCGGCAGTGGTTCCAGCCTCGCAGCCAGCAAGTGTGCCAGCTGCGGTGCCTGCAAGCATCCCGACTGCCATGCCAGCTGCAACGCCAACAACAGTGCCCGCAACAGTACCCAGCTCCATTCCAGCAGTTGCACCGGCCACAACACCTGCGGCAGTGCCCACAACTGTGCCAGCAGCGAGCCCGGCAATGTCACCCAGCGGCACACCAGTTGTTATGCCCTCAACAGTGCCAGCTGCCACACCGGCTGCTGTGCCAGCCAGCGTGCCCGTGAGCGCTCCAGCAAGTGTGCCTGCTGCGGTGCCTACCAGCGTGCCCGCTGCAGTGCCCACCAGTGCGCCTGCTGCAGTGCCGGCCAGCATTCCTGCCGCAGTGCCGGCATCAGTGCCGGCTGCTGTGCCCACTGTTGTGTCTACTGCCGTGGTTCCGGCAGTGGTTCCGGCCTCGCAGCCAGCAAGCGTGCCAGCTGCGGTGCCTGCAAGCATCCCGACTGCCATGCCAGCTGCAACGCCAACAACAGTGCCCGCAACAGTACCCAGCTCCGCACCGGCAGTTGCACCGGCCACAACACCTGCAGCAGTGCCAACAACTGTGCCTGCAGTGATACCAGCAGTGTCACCCAGCGGCGCACCAGTTGTTATGCCCTCAACAGTGCCAGCTGCAACACCGGCTGCTGTGCCAGCCAGTGTGCCCATGAGCGCTCCAGCAAGTGTGCCTGCTGCGGTGCCCACCAGCGTGCCCGCTGCAGTGCCTACCAGTGCGCCTGCTACAGTGCCTGCCAGCATTCCTGCTGCAGTGCCAGCATCAGTGCCGGCTGCTGTGCCCACTGTTGCGTCCACAGCCGTGGTTCCGGCAGTGGTTCCGGCCTCGCAGCCAGCGAGCGTGCCAGCTGCGGTGCCTGCAAGCATGCCGACTGCGATGCCAGCTGCAACGCCAACAACAGTGCCCGCAACAGTACCCAGCTCCACACCGGCAGTTGCACCGGCCACAACACCTGCAGCAGTGCCAACAACTGTGCCTGCGGTGAGCCCAGCAGTGTCACCCAGCGGCTCACCAGTTGTTATGCCCTCAACAGTGCCAGCTGCAAGACCGGCTGCTGTGCCAGCCAGAGTGCCCGTGAGCGCTCCAGCAAGTGGTCCTGCTGCGGTGCCTACCAGCGTGCCCACTGCAGTGCCTACAAGTGCACCTGCTGCAGTGCCTGCCAGCATTCCTGCTGCAGTGCCAGCATCAGTGCCGGCTGCTGTGCCCACTGTTGTGTCTACAGCAGTGGTTCCGGCAGTGGTTCCGGCCTCGCAGCCAGCAAGTGTGCCAGCTGCGGTGCCTGCAAGCATCCCGACTGCCATTCCAGCTGCAACGCCAACAACAGTGCCCGCAACAGTACCCAGCTCCATTCCAGCAGTTGCACCGGCCACAACACCTGCGGCAGTGCCCACAACTGTGCCAGCAGCGAGCCCGGCAATGTCACCCAGCGGCACACCAGTTGTTATGCCCTCAACAATACCAGCTGCAACACCGGCTGCTGTGCCAGCCAGCTTGCCCGTGAGCGCTCCAGCAAGTGTGCCTGCTGCGGTGCCCACCAGCGTGCCCGCCGCAGTGCCTACCAGTGCGCCTGCTGCAGTGCCTGCCAGCATTCCTGCTGCAGTGCCGGCATCAGTGCCGGCTGCCGTACCCACTGTTGCAGCTATGCCTACTGTTGCGTCCACAGCCGTGGTTCCGGCAGTGGTTCCGGCCTCGCAGCCAGCAAGCGTGCCAGCTGCTGTGCCTGCAAGCATCCCGAGTGCCATGCCAGCAGCAGCGCCAGCAACAGTGCCCGCAACAGTACCCAGCTCCATGCCAGCAGTTGCACCGGCCACGACACCTGTGGCAGTGCCAACAACTGTGCCAGCAGCGAGCCCGGCAAGGTCACCCAGCGGCGCACCAGTTGTAGTGCCCTCAACAGTGCCAGCTGCAACACCGGCTGCTGTGCCAGCCGGCGTGCCCGTGAGCGCTCCAGCAAGTGTGCCTGCTGCGGTGCCTACCAGCGTGCCCGCAGCAGTGCCTACCAGTGAGCCTGCTGCAGTGCCTGCCAGCATTCCTGCTGCAGTGCCGGCATCAGTGCCGGCTGCTGTGCCCATTGTTGCGTCTACAGCAGTGGTTCCGGCAGTGGTTCCGGCCTCGCAGCCAGCAAGCGTGCCAGCTGCTGTGCCTGCAAGCATCCCGACTGCCATGCCAGCTGCAACGCCAACAACAGTGCCCACAACAGTACCCAGCTCCATGCCAGCAGTTGCACCGGCCACTATGCCTGCTGCAGTTCCAACAACTGTGCCTGCAGTGAGCCCAGCAGTGTCACCAAGCGGCATACCAGTTGTTATGCCCTCAACAGTGCCAGCTGCAAGACCGGCTGCTGTGCCAGCCGGCGTGCCCGTGAGCGCTCCAGCAAGTGTGCCTGCTGCGGTGCCTACCAGCGTGCCCACTGAAGTGCCCACCAGTGCGCCTGCTGCAGTGCCTGCCAGCATTCCTGCTGCAGTGCCGGCATCAGTGCCGGCTGCTGTGCCCACTGTTGCGTCCACAGCCGTGGTTCCGGCAGTGGTTCCGGCCTCGCACCCAGCAAGCGTGCCAGCTGCGGTGCCTGCAAGCATCCCGACTGCCATTCCAGCTGCAGCGCCAACAACAGTGCCCGCAACAGTACCCAGCTCCATTCCAGCAGTTGCACCGGCCACAACACCTGCGGCAGTGCCCACAACTGTGCCAGCAGCGAGCCCGGCAATGTCACCCAGCGGCACACCAGTTGTTATGCCCTCAACAGTGCCAGCTGCAACACCGGCTGCTGTGCCAGCCAGCGTGCCCGTGAGCGCTCCAGCAGGTGTGCCTGCTGCGGTGCCCACCAGCGTGCCCGCTGCAGTGCCTACCAGTGCGCCTGCTGCAGTGCCTGCCAGCATTCCTGCTGCAGTGCCGGCATCAGTGCCGGCTGCTGTGCCCACTGTTGCAGCTATGCCTACTGTTGCGTCCACAGCCGTGGTTCCGGCAGTGGTTCCGGCTTCGCAGCCGGCAAGCGTGCCAGCTGCGGTGCCTGCAAGCATCCCGACTGCCATGCCAACAGCAGTGCCAGCAACAGTGCCCGCAACAGTACGCAGCTTCATGCCAGCAGTTGCACCGGCCAACACACCTGTGGCAGTGCCAACAACTGTGCCAGCAGCGAGCCCGGCAAGGTCACCCAGCGGCGCACCAGTTGTAATGCCCTCAACAGTGCCAGCTGCAACACCAGCTGCTGTGCCAGCCGGCGTGCCCGTGAGCGCTCCAGCAAGTGTGCCTGCTGCGGTGCCTACCAGCGTGCCCGCAGCAGTGCCTACCAGTGCGCCTGCTGCAGTGCCTGCCAGCATTCCTGCTGCAGTGCCGGCATCAGTGCCGTCTGCTGTGCCCACTGTTGCGTCCACAGCCGTGGTTCCGGCAGTGGTTCCGGCTTCGCAGCCGGCAAGCGTGCCAGCTGCGGTGCCTGCAAGCATCCCGACTGCCATGCCAGCAGCAGCGCCGTCAACAGTGCCCGCAACAGTACCCAGCTCCATGCCAGCAGTTGCACCGGCCACCACACCTGCTGCGGTGCCAACAACTGTGCCTGCAGTGAGCCCAGCAGTATCACCCAGCGGCGCACCAGTTGTTATGCCCTCAACGGTGCCAGCTGCAACACCAGCTGCCGTGCCAGCTAGTGCACCAGCAAGCGTGCCAACCACGGTCCCCGGATTCGTCCCAACTACAGCGCCAGCTTTGACTCCTGCGGTGTCACCAGCAGCCGTGCCGGTCATGGTCCCCAGCAGCGTCCCTGCAAGCACCCCTGCTTTGGTGCCTGAGTCCGTCATAGCATGCACCAAGTCGGATCAACCATTGACCCTGGTGATCAAATCTGCGGCTCAGTGTTCCGCTGATGGCACTTACTATTTCTTCAGAGTGGAGGCTGGTTCTCTTCCATCTGACGCCGTGGATATCAGTACGCTGGAATGTGAGTTGAAAGGTCCGGACCTGGAGGTCTATCAGCCCAGCTCCGGCTGCGTCCACACCATGGCGCTCCAGAAAGTGCACTTCTTGCCGCTGAAGAGCTCCATCCTGGTGTCCGCCTACCCCAAAGCGCCTCAGCTCTGCGGCGGCGCGGGGGGGCACCTGGCGCAATTCAACTCGGAGCATCCGGTGGGCCTCGAGGTGTCCTTTAAAAACTCCTGCGCCTCAACTTCGGCCCCAGCGCTGGCGCCCTCAGCCCCAGCTGCGGCGCGCATCTGCACCCGCTCCACCGAGACGCTGAGCTTGACCCTGGAGACCCAGGCGAAGTGCTCGGCGGATGGGAGCTTCTACTACTTCCGGGTGAAGGCTGGCACTCTGCCCGCGGACGCGGTGGATATCAGCACTTTGGAGTGTGAGTTGGAGGGCCCGGGTCTGAATTTGTTCGACGGCAGCTGCTTGGAGAACCTGGCGCTGCGCCGGCTCAAGTTCTTGCCCCTCAGCAGCTCCGTGGCCGTGAACGCGTATCCCATCGCCTCCCAAAGGTGCTTGGGCCAAACCGGGCACGCGGCAGAGTTCAACAGCGTCTACCAGGTGGGCCAAGCCGTGCAGCTGAAGCGAGGCTGTCCCGCGAGCTCCGCGCCAAGCGCGCCTTCCCTTTGTTCCAAGAGCGCCCAGTTTATGGTGACACTTATGGTGCAGTCCGAGGCGCGGTGCTCGGCGGATGGGTCCTTCTACTACTTCAAGGTGGGGGCAGGAATCCTTCCCTCTGACTTGGTGGACATTAGCACAGAAGAGTGCGAGATGCAGGGCCCGCACCTGCAGGTCTATCGGGATCAGAAGTGCTGGGAGGCTATGGCATTGCGGAAGCTGCATTTCTGGCCGCTCCGAAGCTCCATAGTAGCGACGGCCTATCCCGATGGCCAAAACTGCACGGGGCCCACGGGCCATGCAGCGTTATTCAACTCGGCCTTCAAGATTGGGCATGAGGTCTCTGTGATGCAAGGGTGCTTGCAGGTGCCGGCTTTGGTGCCGGCAGTTGCGCCAAGTGGGGCACCGGCCATGGCGCCATCCCTCTTGCCAGCTATCGTGCCCACCACTGTGCCGAGAGCTGACGTGCCTGCGCCCACTGTGCCCGCCGGCTCCGCAGGTTCCGCACGGTCCCTTGCAGCACCGGCGGCAGTTCCAGCGACAGCGCCGGCCACGACGCCAGCAACTGCGCCGGCAACAATGCCGTCAAGTGCTCCAGCATATATGCCTGCAAGCAGCCCAGCTGTGACTCCAGCCAGTGTGCCAGCAAGCAGCCCAGTGGTGTCACCAACAGGCGTGCCATTATCGGTACCCTCCACGGTGCCAGCTTCGACACCGACAAACGTGCCATCCAGCGTGCCTTCGTCGGTTCCCACAGCAGCACCAGCCACAGTTCCTGCAGCTGTGCCAGCAGTTGTGCCCACGGTGGTTCCGGCCAGCCCTGTGGCCCCAGTGGCTTCCACCACTGCAGCGCCAGCGGCAGTTCCTGCAACAGCCACAGCACCAACAACAGCGCCAGCCACAATGCCGGCAAGTGCTCCAGCATCTGTGCCTGCAAGCAGCCCAGCTGTGACTCCAGCCAGTGTGCCAGCAAGCAGCCCAGCTGTGACTCCAACCAGTGTGCCAGCAAGCAGCCCAGTGGTGTCACCCACAGGCATGCCATCATCGGTGCCCTCCACGGTGCCAGCTTCGACACCGACAAGTGTGCCATCCAGCGTGCCTTTGTCGGTTCCCACAGCAGCGCCAGCCACAGTTCCTGCAGCCGTGCCAGCAGTTGTGCCCACAGTGGTTCCGGCCAGCCCTGTGGCAGTCCCAGTGGCTTCCACCACTGCAGCGCCAGCGGCGGTTCCTGCAACAGTGCCAGCCACAGTACCAACAACAGCGCCAGCCACAATGCCGGTAAGTGCTCCAGCATCTGTGCCTGCAAGCAGCCCAGCTGTGACTCCAGCCAGTGTGCCAGCAAGCAGCCCAGCTGTGACTCCAACCAGTGTGCCAGCAAGCAGCCCAGTGGTGTCACCCACAGGCATGCCATCATCGGTGCCCTCCACGGTGCCAGCTTCGACACCGACAAGTGTGCCATCCAGCGTGCCTTTGTCGGTTCCCACAGCAGCGCCAGCCACAGTTCCTGCAGCCGTGCCAGCAATTGTGCCCACAGTGGTTCCGGCCAGCCCTGTGGCAGTCCCAGTGGCTTCCACCACTGCAGCGCCAGCGGCAGTTCCTGCAACAGTGCCAGCCACAGTACCAACAACAGCGCCAGCCACAATGCCGGTAAGTGCTCCAGCATCTGTGCCTGCAAGCAGCCCAGCTGTGACTCCAGCCAGTGTGCCAGCAAGCAGCCCAGCTGTGACTCCAACCAGTGTGCCAGCAAGCAGCCCAGTGGTGTCACCCACAGGCATGCCATCATCGGTGCCCTCCACGGTGCCAGCTTCGACACCGACAAGTGTGCCATCCAGCGTGCCTTTGTCGGTTCCCACAGCAGCGCCAGCCACAGTTCCTGCAGCCGTGCCAGCAGTTGTGCCCACGTTGGTTCCGGCCAGCAGCCCTGTGGCAGTCCCAGCGGCTTCCACGACTGCAGTGCCGGCAGCAATGCCAGCAACCGTCCCTACTACAATGCCGGTAACAGTGCCGGCCGAAAGCCCTCCAGCAAGTTTGCCTGCAAGTAGCCCAGCTCTCATTCCCACCAGCATGCCAGCGGAAAGCCCAGTGGAGTCACCCTCAGGGTTGCCCTCATCAGTGCCCGCCACAGTGCCAGCTGCGACCCCAACAAGCGTGCCGTCCAGCGTGCCTTTGTCCGTTCCCACGGCAGCACCAGCCACAGTTCCCACAGGAGCGCCAGCAATTGTGCCCACAGTTGTTCCAGCGGCTGCAAGTGCCCCAGCATTGCCTGCAAGCACCCCAGCTTCGGCCGCAGTACCAGCGACTGCGCCGGCCACAGTGCCAGGAACTGCGCCGGCCACGCTTCCTGCAACTGCTCCAGCATCCGTGCCTACAAGCATCCCAGCGGTGACTCCAACCAGCATGCCAGCAAGCAGCCCAGTGGTGTCGCCAACAGGCGTGCCATCAGCTGTGCCCTCAACAGTGCCAGCTGCGACCCCAACAAGCGTGCCATCCAGCACGCCCGTGTTGGCTCCCACAGCCACACCAGCCACGGTTCCCGCCTCAACACCAGCAGCTGTGCCAACGCTTGTTCCGGCCATCAGCCCTGTGGAAGTTCCAGTAGCTTCCGCGACTGCAGTGCCGGCAGCAGAACCAGCGACTGTGCCGGCCACAGTGCCAGCGACTGCGCCGGCCACACTTCCTGCAAGCAGTCCAGCATCCGTACCTGCAAGCATCCCGGCTATTGCTCCCAGCTCCGTGCCAGCAATCAGCCCTGCGGTGTCAGCAACAGGGGTGCCAGCATCTGTGCCCTCCACGCTGCCAGCTGCGACCCCAACAAGTGTGCCATCCAGCACACCTGCGTTGGTTCCCACAGCAGCGCCAGTCACAGTTCCAACAGCAGCACCGGCAGTTGTGCCTACGGCAGTCCCAGCCAGCAGCCCTGTGGCAGTCCCAGTGGCTTCCACGACTGCGGCACCGGCGACTGTTCCAGCAACTGCGCCGGCCACGGTCCCAGCAACAGCACCGGCCACAATGCCTGCAAGTGCTCCAGCATCGGTGCCTGCTAGTGCTCCAGCATCCGTGCCTGCAAGCAGCCCAGCTGTTACTCCAAACAGCGTGCCAGCAAGCAGCCCAGTGGTGTCACCCACAGGGGTGCCATCAGCTGTGCCCTCCACGGTGCCAGCCGCGACCCCAACAAGTGTACCATCCAGCACACCTGCGTTGGCTCCCACAGCAGCGCCAGCCACGGTTCCAACAGCAGCACCAGCAGTTGTGCCTACGGCAGTTCCAGCCATCAGCCCGGTGGCAGTCCCAGTGGCTTCCACGACTGCGGCACCCGCGACTGTTCCAGCAACAGCGCCGGCCACGGTCCCAGCAACAGCACCAGCCACAAAGCCTGCTAGTGCTCCAGCATCATTGCCTGCAAGCAGCCCAGCTGTTACTCCAACCAGCGTGCCAGCGAGCAGCCCAGTGGTGTCACCCACAGGGGTGCCATCAGCTGTGCCCTCCACGGTGCCATCCGTGACCCCAACAAGTGCACCATCCAGCACACCTGCGTTGGCTCCCACAGCGGCGCCAGCCATGGTTCCAACAGCAGCACCAGCGGTTGTGCCTACGGCAGTTCCAGCCAGCAGCCCTGTGGCAGTCCCAGTGGCTTCCACGACTGCGGCACCCGCGACTGTTCCAGCAACGGCGCCGGCCACGGTCCCAGCAACAGCACCTGCCACCATGCCTGCGAGTGCTCCAGCATCGGTTCCTGCAAGCAGCCCAGCTGTTACTCCAACCAGCGTGCCAGCGAGCAGCCCAGTGGTGTCACCCACAGGGGTGCCATCATCAGTGCCGTCCATGGTGCCAGCTGCGACTCCAACAAGTGCACCATCCAGCACACCTGCGTTGGCTCCCACAGCAGCGCCAGCCACGGTTCCAACAGCAGCACCAGCAGTTGTGCCTACGGCAGTTCCAGCCATCAGCCCTGTGGCAGTCCCAGTGGCTTCCACGACTGCGGCACCTGCGACTGTTCCAGCAACAGCGCCGGCCACGGTCCCAGCAACAGCACCGGCCACAAAGCCTGCAAGTGCTCCCGCATCGGTTCCTGCTAGTGCTCCAGCGTCGGTGCCTGCAAGCAGCCCAGCTGTTACTCCAACCAGCGTGCCAGCAAGCAGCCCAGTTGTGTCACCCACAGGGGTGCCATCATCAGTGCCGTCCATGGTGCCAGCTGCAACTCCAACAAGTGCACCATCCAGCACACCTGCGTTGGCTCCCACAGCAGCGCCAGCCACGGTTCCAACAGCAGCACCGGCAGTTGTGCCAACGCTTGTTCCGGCCATCAGCCCTGTCACAGTTCCAGTAGCTTCCGCGACTGCAGTGCCGGCAGCAGAACCAGAGACTGCGCCAGCCACACTTCCTGCAAGCAGTCCAGCATCCGTACCTGCAAGCAGCCCGGCTATTGCTCCCAGCTCCGTGCCAGCAATAGGCCCTGCGGTGTCAGCAACAGGGGTGCCAGCATCTGTGCCCTCCACGCTGCCAGCTGCGACCCCAACAAGTGTACCATCCACCACAGCACCAGCCATAGTTCCAACAGAAGCACCGGCAGTTGTGCCCACGGCAGTTCCAGCCAGCAGCCCTGTGGCAGTCCCAGTGGCTTCCACGACTGCAGCACCCGCGACTGTTCCAGCGACAGCGCCGGCCACGGTGCCAGCAACCGCACCGGCCACACTTCCTGCAACTGCTCCAGCATCGGTGCCTGCTAGTGCTCCAGCGTCGGTGCCTGCAAGCAGCCCAGCTGTTACTCCAACCAGCGTGCCAGCGATCAGCCCAGTGGTGTCACCTACAGGGGTGCCGTCAGGAGTGCCTTCTTTGGTGCCAGCTGCCACCCCAACAGGTGTACCTTCCACCACACCTGCGTTGGCTCCCACAGCAGCGCCAGCCACGGTTCCAACAGCAGCGCCAGCAGTTGTGCCTACGGCAGTGCCTGTCAGCAGCCCTGTGGCAGTACCAGTTGCTTCCACGACTGCGGCACCGGCGACTGTTCCAGCAACAGCACCTGCCACGGTCCCAGCAACAGCACCTGCCACCATGCCTGCTAGTGCTCCAGCGTTGGTGCCTGCAAGCAGCCCAGCTGTTACTCCAACCAACGTGCCAGCGAGCAGCCCAGTAGTGTCACCCACAGGGTTTCCATCAGCTGTGCCCTCCACGGTGCCAGCCGCGACCCCGACAAGCGTGCCATCCAGCACACCTGCGTTGTCTCCCACAGCAGCGCCAGCCACGGTTCCAACAGCAGCACCGGCATTTGTGCCTACGGTTGTTCCAGCCAGCAGCCCTGTGGCAGTGCCCGTGACTTCCACAACTGCAGCACCCGCGACTGTTCCAGCA